TACTAGTAACAAGTGCCTTACTAGTAGTAACACGAAGCTACTAGGAATCGCTTTCCTGGGTCACGAGAAAAGATGAGGCCGAAGGGCGAAGGGCCGAAGTCTGGATCCTTGCTCTGCCGCAATGGCTCTAGGAACAAGTGCATCGCTTCCAGTAACAAGTGCCTTACTAGTAACAAGAAGCTATTAGAAACAATTTACTTTTAGCCTCTGTGGAATGCACTTTGGTCAAGTGCAGGTTTCCTTCCTGCGATGATACGAGTCAGGTGCGTTTGAGCTCCATTCGCTGCTCGACTTGCCTGACACTCAAATGCGATGAATACGGCGCCTTGGCTTGCGCGAAGAATACGCTGCGATGACAGGTCAGCAAGAAAAGGAGGCAAAGACCGACTGTCGGGAGCCCGTCCCAATCACGGTTCCGAGCAAACCCATCTTGACGTCCATTGTTTTGAGGCGATGACCTCCAACCTACTAGCGATGGCCTCCACCCTAGAAGCACATTGTTACTAGTAGCGAGGCACTTGTTACTACTAGTAAGGCACTTGTTCCTAGTAGCGATGCAGCCATTTTCTTGAGGTCCCAGCTGACTTGGTGGGTCTGCTGCCTGCCCGCCCCAGTCAGTGTGGCGGGTAGATAGGTGCATGTCTGTCGGAGGCCACTTCTCACGAGACCCTGGGGTATTCCATGCTCGCCAACGAACAGCGAGATTCCTTAAGTGACTACGTCTGATGATCCTGTGAACCAAAATCCACTGAACTACAGCACGTGCATCACAGAAAGAGCACTGAAATGCTGCAGAATCGGCATTCTAATCAGAATTCTTCCACTTGTATGAGTTATCACATTTTCCGTCGCAAATGTCTCGAGATGTGTCAAGGGCACCCCCCCCCTGGGCGCCTCGGCCCAGTGCCGCACGTCGGCGGAAAAGTCGGTGCAAACCTCGGCCGTTCATGGCCGTTATGTCTAGGAACAAGAGGACGCTACTAGGAGCAAGGACGCTACTAGGGGCTCCTGGCATCGCTACTAGGAGCAAGAAGCTATTAGGAACAAGAAGCTACTAGGGGCTCCTGGCATCGCTACTAGGAACAAGAGGACGCTACGAACGGAACGAAGGGCATCGCTACGAACGGAGCAAGGACCTCGGTGAACCTGAAAAGGGGGTCGACATGGGCAGTGGGCCCAGTGGGCAGTGCGGTCGATACAGCAGCTGGTTGATGCTTCGACCATGCGGCATGTGAGCCTGGACAGGTGGGTAAAGTGTTGTCCTAATGGCAATCGCCTCCAACCTACTAGCGATGGCCTCCAACCTACTGTAAGAATAGAAAGATCCTTCAAGATGATGAGCTTGCTGGAGACATGTTCTTCCCAATCAAGAGGCCCCCGCCGCATCCAAACTGGCTAAACGCTTCGAGAGATCGCAGGGCTCCACTTGAATGTCCTGGCACCGTCAGATTTTAACAATTCATAACCCAACTTCAAACGAGGGCAGCTTCGACAAGTCTTTCTTATTTCATCCGATTTCCTTTTATGCGCATCTGCGACAGCAACTGTCTCACCCCATTGGGAAAGACCAGAAATGTTCGGCCCAGCCTCTGTCCAAGTCGCCTGACAGAAACATCTCGTACACATCGCGATTCAGTAAGGACACGGTCCGGGCACGGGTGCAGTATCTTCTCCGACATAATATTTTGCAAGGACCTTCCATGATTCCATGCCCAATACCAACAAGCTAGGGACATGGGAGAGTAATCTATCTGTGAAGAAACACTGGCTTTATGATCGACAAAAACGTCCGTGGGTGGCACCAGGTTCATACCTCGGCTTCCAAGTCTGGTTTGCAATTAGGAGCAAGGACGCTACTAGGAGCAAAGGGCATCGCTACTAGGAGCAAGGACGCTACTAGGGGCTCCTGGCCTTACTACTGGGAGCAAGGACGCTACTAGAAACATTCGTAAACAACAGTTCTTTGGTTCCAAAACGCTTTGAGTCCCCGAAAACGACGTAAGTGCGATGATCGAAACTGGCTCGATGAGCTTCCCCATTAAGCGTACTTGGTCTATGAAATCTGCATAAGAGCGATGGCCTCCCACCTAAGAGCGTTTTTGTTACTAGTAGCAATGCCAGGAGCCTCTAGTAGCGTCCTTGCTCCTAGTAGCGATGCCAGGAGCCCCTAGTAGCTTCTTGATCGAAATAGCTTCTTGCTCCTAGTAGTAAGGCCAGGAGCCCCTAGT